CGTTAGCCCGTCTGCAGCGGCCAGGACTAACGTTAGCCCATCTGCAGGGGCCAGGGCTAAGGTTAGCTCATCTGCAGCGACCAGGGCTCTGATGGAGGTTTGATTGTTTTATTTGGCAAAATGATCATTTGATTTGTGTTTATCTGACTGTGCTCATTATTATTCCCCCAATAAAAGAAAAAAGTTAGAATTTATTATTATCTAGAGACTATTGATAACAGGAGGTGAACTGCAGCTCCAGACTAGCTTTGAATGTTCATCAGTACGTTGCTGTTTGATCCAGATTTATTCTGCCTGCTTCTGTTCTTTCTGAATCCAGACTGTCCTGGGTTCTTCTCAAGAACAGACTTGGCGAGAACCCGAGTCCATACTCATGTTCTTGTGAATTGAGAAATGGCCAGGTGCTGGGAGCTGGCTTGTGTTTCCTGGACGGGGCCGCCTGTAGGGGTGTAAATCACATCCATCATGGCGATTCGATTCAGTATCGATTTCCTGACCCAACGATTCGATTATTTTTCGATACTCAAGAATACACCACGATACGATTCGATACGATAAATTATTTTATTTTTTTTTCCTACACCTTACAGGCTAAACAAAGTTTCAAGTTTGAAATAAATCAATGAAAGCTGTAATATCGTTATGCATTTTTTTTTAGAAACAACAGCAAATAACAGAAGTAGAAAAGTTGCATCAAAAAATACTGCAAAAATACTGCAGAAAATCAGGGCAATGAGTGCAATGCATTACCTCGGCTCCAGACGTCCCCGCCCCCTTGAGAGACGCTCCGCTTCACCTCTCCCAAATTGTAGCTGACCGCAGACTGTTCCCCGGCTGCCACACGGAGTCTGGAGCCTGGACGAAGAGTGAGCCACCTGGTCCGTGGTTTTGGCGGCGGGCGGCTAGGTGGCATGGTGGTGGCGGGGCTGTAGCTTGTCTGGTTGGGTAGCTGGATGGGTGCGGGGTGGGGAGCCAGGCCCGAAGCAGGAATGAGATGGGCTGGTGTGGCGGTTTCGCCGCTCCCCACCCCCCCATCTGGATTTCAGGTTCACTTATTGGGTCATCCGATAATACGATAATCCCGAGACCAACCACTGTTGCCGACGGGTCCTTGGTCCTGGTATTATTGGATGTGAGTGTTATGTGTGACTGTGTGT